GTTTGTCTTCATTTTTTACTAAAAAGCTCTATGCTTCGCAGAGCAAAGCAGAGTCTTCGTCCTTTAATTTTCTGATTTTGGAGAATCGGAGGCTTCAGATGGAGAGCAGGCGATTCTGAAGCCTTGAACGATCTCGATGACAGACATCGTGTACTAAGGGTAGTGGTTTATGTCTCTCTCGTGGTACTCCGCTGAAGATTGTAACTGGGATATCTGATGTGACATACCCAGTTGAGGCTGCCACAGCAGGATGTGCATCGCACTTTGGGCTTTACATTGCGGTGACAATTTTGTACATCAGTGTGGTGTATAGCTTCCCAGCCCCTGCTGCGCTCCTTATCGCTCCTATAGGGCACTGGAGACCCCAGTGTGAAGTGAAGCTTACGCAAATAGCTTCCTTCCCCTGCTCAGGTGTCAGAACAAATACTGGCTCAGCTGCATTGCTCATCAGTCACAGCGCTTGGGAATCTAGAGGTGGATGGAGATTGGCAGTTCTATTTAGGAAACGGCTGCGAGGCATGTGGTTTTGTTGGTTTGTTTTTTTTTTTTTTTGGTTGGTTTGTTTTTTTAAAAAGGCACAACGGCGGGTTAGTTGTGAACAGATAATCTATGGAAGAGCAAAATATAGTGGCAGATTTGTCTGAGTTAAGGTGAAAAAACATGGTAGAACAGTGTAAAAATAATTATTTGGAGATTGATTACTTTTACTAGAGGATTTGTATTTTATATTAATTTTCTTTAGAAGTGACTTATGTAGGAGGGGGAGTATGGCTGAAGAAAAATAGGGGTTTTGAAAACTCATTAATAACAAATGTAATTTTGAGTGTTCTTAAGTAATGTGTCAGCTCTGCTCTGGATACTAGGCAGCCCAGGGTATTTCAAAGTGATGCACAAATTTAGGGAAGATTAAGAACTGTAAATAGGCATATGGTTATGTCCCTTCCTCTCCCTCCACCATATCTTACTGCTGTCTTACTGCATGTTCTTTTTCAGTGAAAAACAGCTGTTGGGTTTGGGACAGTTTGGGATAGGGGGTTGTTCTTCAGCTGGGCTGTTAGTTACAAAATGTCAATGCTAATAAAAAGGAAATTTTAGTTATGGATGGTGAAGTTTCTTTTAGGGATCTTTAAGAGGCCTGAAAACATCACTTGGATGAAGATAAGGTGCTTCCATGGCTAGCAGGAGCAGGTGCCTAAAGTGAGTCTGGCATCCTGTAGAATATGTAGAAAACTGAAGAAAGCCAAAAAAAAAAAAAAAAAAAAAAAGTCCATTAGAATGTTTTGGCATGTGCTTTAATGGCTTTCAGTAAATTCAGTCCAGGGCTTAACTAAGGTACTTGGGAGTCCTGCTGCAGGGTGATCCTTAAGGCTTACAGCTGCATTCCAGGAGGTAGTTCTCTTTTTGTGTGTGTGTGTGTGTGTGTATTGCATTCAGAAGTGTTCTAGGAGGGATATGAGAGTGTTCTGTGATCAGGATGGCACTGTATCTAAAAAGTGCTGACAGGTATGGAAAATGGTTTGTTCACAGTCCAGGTTTGTTTTTATTGTCGTTTTTGCAGGTGATAATTCTCACGACTCTGACATGTTTTATTTATAATCAGCTTAATTGTTACGTGTTTGTGCATGTCCCTGACAGCTGTGCAAATGATTTTATAATGAAAAAACCAAGAATAGTGCTTGAAATTCCTTTTGTTAATAGCTTTATTTGAATTAAAAATACTGACATTTGAAAGGTGAGTGTCATTTTCAGTGAGCAATATTGTTAGAGAAACTTCAGTATTTGATATCACACTTGCAGAGGGGCAGGAATAACATGATTTGATGGTAAGGGTTTTTTTTTTTTTTACCCCTTTCTTCTTTAAGATATTCAGATTCTGCAAGTCAAAGTGCCACAGAAACTTCAAAAAGAAGCGAAATCCCCGAAAGATGCGGTGGACCAAAGCATTCCGGAAAGCAGCTGGCAAAGAATTGACAGTGGTAAGAAGTTGAGCTCGTTCGCGCTTTGTATTAGCTCCCTAAAATGGCAGAAATCTGGCCTCTCCCCGCTGCAGACAGCCTCGGTTAGCTAGCTTAATACATGGTAATTTAATTAGGTGAGCACGAGGGATGGAGTAAGTGGAGAAAAGAGGGATTGTGGAAGAGGAAGTGAGGGTTTTCTTGAGTGAGCTGTTCATTTAGCTTGACTGTGACTTGGAACTGCCCCTTCCAGCCACACTGTGGAAGCCAGTGTGTCAGGTGTCTGCGTCAGTAATACGTGGTGGTTCCCTTGTCCAAGGCATTTTTTTTCCACCTATAAATCTCCTCTCTCTACATGTACATTTGGCAGTTGTATTTCTGCACAGTCATCTGGCTCGGGGGTGCCCCAGGAAGTCTCTCTGTCTAGACACGCAAGACCGTTAGATTTTGAAGTCTCCTTAAAGCCTACCAAGTATAGGAAGAGTCCTTGCCTAGGTAGGAATGTTTCAAAACCAGCGTATGAGATCTTAAAAACAATTCCCAGACAAAGTTACTTCAATGATAAAAATACTAAACACTCCCATTTGGTGGGACAGTCCTTAAATAATTCAAGAATTACTGTGACTTATCTACCTGTTTTTTCACAGAATACTTACGATTTAGTGGGTATTTTTACACAGTAATTTGCTGCCTTCTGTAGGTCTTCCGAGGGGAGGAACGTGATTTTTATTTTATTTTTCAGTGTGACTTGAGAATCCATGATTAATTAGCATCTTCTGTAATTGTATTTCTTGCTTTCAAGTTGGTCCTGGCTAAGGTGAATTATCTTTTTGAAAATAACTTAATTTAAAATTCCTTTATACATGCAGGTGGCAATATGCTCCAGTTTTAAGATCTATCTATGTATGCTAAGAATTAAAACAATATATAAACATACTGCTTTGTTGTAGTTTGGCTGGTGTCCATTCTTAGATCAGCCAGCTTTGGGGAGGGTGTCTAAAGAGGCTTGTGACATGCGAAATACTGTAGTTCGTAAGAGGGTGACAGTTCTTGCTGCTTTAAACAGGTACATGGGATAGAGGTTAAATATATTTACTTGTTTCCTGGGTTTCAATTTTTTTTGTCTCTTAAACAACAACAAAAAATTAAGGAGGACGTAATCTTGCCGGGTGGTTGTTCACAAGGTATTTCTGAAAGACAGATTTTTTGTGTTGCTCAGAACGACCGAGCCCTGGGTCAGTCAGTTCCCCTCATGGTTGGAACTGAAGAGATCTGTTGGTCAGTGTCAGGCAGCTGCAGTTCATCTCCGTGCCTGCAGGTTGGGAGCCCGTGGCACTCGGAGCGGCTGCATCCTCATGAGACTCTTTTGCTGTTTGTGAGGTGTTCTCGTGGTACGAGCCAGCGCTGGGTGTTACACATACGTGAAAGCTGGCGTGGTTTAGGATCAACTGCAGTGAATTGACGTCGTGCTCTGTCACTCTTGGCTAAAAATTAATTTTATGTAACTCCTTAATTATTTTTTTTAAGAATAGGAATGGCATGTAGATGTTAGTGTACGGTGTGCTCTGCAGCTGGTATTGTGGGTGTTCTGCTTGGTGCTGTTCCGTGGTGCAGACTGACGTTTGTCTGCCAGTGGCGTGTGGCTTGTGAGCCTGTACGTGCCGCTTTGGGCTGGTCTGCGTGGCGTCTCTCACTGGAGCTGCCTTCAGCAGCCAGTGTAATGACTGTGCTTTACCTCTGCAGAAAAGAACCTTTGGGCAGGGAAAAGCCCTCAGATAAAGTTGGTATAAAGCCAAGTGTGCCTTGCGAAAAAAATAAATTGGGAAACTTTTTCAGTCATAAACTTTCGGGGAAAAAAACAACAAAAAGAAGAACCCCCAGCTGCCCCAGATATGATGTCATCAATTGGAATATTTTGCAATTTCAAATGATTTTGTATTGTTTCAGTATTCTTAAAAGGAAATAGCGTTTAGGGGTTGGGTTTTTTTAACCTTTTCAAAATTACAGGCTTTTGGGTGGAACTTATTTGACCTGTATTAAATGCTTTTGACTACACGTTTTCAGTTTTGCCTTCCACCTGTCTAGTCTACTCCGTTTCCTATGCAACGTTGGTCTTCTCTGTTCCTTTTGTCTTGTGACAAAGAAATAGCTGAGGAAGGTGTTTTTATAAATAGTTCTCTTCGGGCAAATCACTGTGGCTTCTGACACTTTGAGGTCAAACACTCCACTCTGTTTCCTTATAGTTTAGTAATCTCTAAAGGTTGTTGTTAAAGTATGGGAACTGAGATTCTGAAAGGGAAAAAAAAATCCCATAAAATACTAAGTTATATGAGTGAGTACTATAGTAAGAATGTGTTGAACTAAATATGCTTCTGTATATAATTGGTATTCACTTTTTCTAAATACAGGATAATTCGTTTGAGTTTGAAAAACGTAGAAATGAACCAGTGAAATACCAGAGAGAGCTGTGGAACAAGACTGGTGAGTCATTGTAGAAAAAACAAAAGATTCACTCTGGGGAGTAAACTTTGACTCTGCACAAACATATTTTCAGAAGGCTTCTTAGAGTATCGACGCTTTGTAGTGATTGTACTGGAGTCATGACCACATTCTTAGCTGTGGAGGAGGTTTGAGTTGTGACAGGTGTGAAGTTTCACCCGATTGTAACTTTTTTTTCAGAAACAGTTAGAAAATGAGGTGCAGCATTCCCCTATTTTGAATTATTATCTACAAAAAACCTTAGTGGTTCTCCAGCTTTTTAAGAGGCTCCTAGTGTGAGCCTTTTGTACTGATGCAGCTGTTTCTTTGTTCCCGCTCATGCCACTTCAGTTTTTTAATAAATCAGTTGCTATAAAATGGAAGAGTTCCTTACGTCATGAATGAATGCCACAAAGGGGAAGGTGGTACCTTGCAGCTGATTTCAGGTAGTGATGGTTAATTGTAGAAGGTGTGTGTAGGCACGGAAGTGGAAGTGTAAATAAGTTTTAAACACAGTTCATTGTAGCTGGTACACGGAATATTCCCCTACCCTGCTCTTTGAAGGAGGAGTAACTTCCTCTATCTAGTATGAGAGTTGCCTCTGATCCAGAGGTATTGTGGAATGCTGGTAGTGTTGCTCTGCAGAACCACCTGTATTTTCAACTGTAGGTGTGTAAGCACGTTTAAAACTACTTCTGCTTTGTTTCAGTTGGTGCAATGAAGAGAGTGGAGGAGATCAAGCAGAAACGCCAAGCCAGATTTATTATGAACAGGTGAGAAGTATTTGTGTCACGGGAGCTCTCGCAAGTCTGTGTTAGAGAGTCAGTCTTTCCAGAGAAATGATGATCAAAAGTGTTAAATGGTTATTTGCTTTGTACATACACAGTCATCCAAATGATGGGTTGAAGTATTTTGAGTGGGTTCTACTACTCTGCCAACCTACTACGCTTTATTGGCTGTCCAATGAAATGTAGCTTTTGGACACTTGATGATAATAGTTAGATTTCCTTGTTTGTAATATGTAGTCTTAGGTTTAAACAAATTTCTGGTAAGAGTTGATACAGTGCTTGTTTTTTTTTCCTGGTTTTATACACAGTATATGCTTGGATTGGTTTTTGGGTACTTCTTACCTTTATTTTCTCATAGTTACAGTTATTTACAGTTTATGTACCTTTAGCTAAAGATGTGTCATGCATTAACATGAAAACATAGGGCTCCTGTTTGAAGGTAGTTAAATTTAATTTGCCCACTCCCCAGACTAAAGAAGAGCAAAGAGCTGCAGAAGGCAGAAGACATCAAAGAAGTCAAACAGAATATCCACCTTCTTCGTGCTCCGCATGCGGGTAAGAATGTGCTTTGCCTGCTTTGCTTAGGTTAACTTGTGTGTAGAATTTTATGATAATACTGATTTTTTTGGTATGATTAATTCTACAGATCAATAATTCTTACAAATAATTTATCTATTGCATGTGGAGAATAGCTCTTGCCACTAAACGTAAGCAGTACCTTTGTTCTGAATCAGACAGACCTTTTTATTTATCTAGTCCTGCGTTTGTCCTTTCTCTTCCTGATTTGAGTACTTCCAACTGCACTGGGTACCTGCTGCTCTCTGAATTGCGTGTTGGCTGACCAGTGCCTTTATGGAAGCCTTCTCTTGGAGTGGGTTATTTGAACTCAACGGACGGCACCGCTGGCTGATGCAAAGGGCAGGAGTTAAACTCTGCTGTTTGCAGCTGTGAGCTAGTTGTGAGAGCAGGCTTTTTGGTAGTTCACTGGCCATAATGGAACTTCCATGAAAATACTGGATCTTTAGCATAAGCCTAACGTTTTTAAATATCATGGTCATTTTACAAATTGTCACGAAAATCTGCCTAGTCCAGATAGAATAATGTGTATTCTTTGTTAGTGAACTGAGTTTTTCAGTTGGAGAAATCTGTTTCTCCTACATAATTTTGTGGTTTCTAAACTATTACAAGTACTAGCTTGTGTTACATGATGTTGATAAAAATGTATTGTAAAGATGATTTATTTTTTAAAATACAGTTAATAGAGTAGAGGATGGAAAGAAGTTAAAAATATTTCCATTAGTTATTGTTTTATAAATATTACCAGTGATTTTGTGTCTGTGGATGTAGGTGTGACGTATTATTAGACGTTCGCTGGAATTCTATCCTATGTTCTTTCTTCCAATTCACATTAACTATAGTCTAAGACTGTATGTATGTGAAACAAGGTTTGTCAGGATATATTTAAACTCTGGTTTAATCTGTCCCTTGATTTTTGCGGGAAGAAAAAGAAGAAAGATCTGAATTCAAAGAATAAACCCGAGCATTTATTTCTTTTGTTTGGCTTTGCTTATGTTAAATGAGGGGCACACAGTAGCATC